CCAGGGTTTCTCAAAGTGTGGTCCTGGAAGAACAGCATCAATATCACTGGAAGCTTGTTCAAAATGCTTCTTCTCACTCTCCTATACAGACCTACTAAATCAGGAACTACAGAACTGGGACACAGAAATCTGTGTTTCACCAAGGCCTCCAGGTATTTCTGATGCACACTTAAGTTTGAAAACTGCTATGATTTATTTATTTTTATTTTTATTTTTGAAAGGTTTTCGCTATAGGGTGCATGCACTCGCCAGACAGACAGACAGAGAGACATAGAGATAGAAAGCGAGGAATTACCCCGCAGGGGGGATGGTCACGCCGCAATCCCTTCTCCTCCATTCTCCTCTCGGGATCTTGGGCACGCACGCACACGCGCCCAGCTTGAGTTTTAAGCCACCGGGTCCGGGATACGAACCACGGTAGACTATGTGGGAGTCCAGCGACATAGCCATTACACTAACTGCTGATTCCCAGAGAACTGCTATGATTTAAACGTCATTTGAAGTTTACGGGTTAAAAACTTAATCCCCAATACTACAGTGTTGAGAGGTAGGACCTTAAAGAGGTGCTCAGGTCATGAGGGCTCTGCCCTAATATTGCATGAGCAGGTTCCTTATAAAAAGATGAGTTTCTGTCTCCTCTCTTCCTTGTCTCTCTTCTTCCCTCCCTTTCTTCCTCCCTCTTATGTCATGCCTTCTGCCATGTTCTGATATAGCAAGAAGGCCCTCACCAGATGCCAGCATCTTAACTTTGGATTTCCCAGCCTCCGGAAAGAACCATGAGAAAATAAATTTCTCTTCATTAGTAATTACTCAGTCTCAAGACGAGCAGATGATGTAATGGTTACGTCGCTGGACTCCCATGTAGTCGACCCAGATTCAAGTCCCAGGCCCAGTGGCTTCAAACTCATGCCAGGCAAGTAAGTATGTCTGCCCAAGATCCCAAGAGAGAATGGAGAAGCAGGAACTGAGATGTGGCCATCTCCCTGGTGGATGATGTCTCACTTTCTGTCTCTTTGTCTCTCCAGCAAGCGCATGCACCCTATAGCAAAATTCTCTCTAAGAAAGAAAGAAAGAAGGAAAGAGAAAAGAAAAGAAAAGAAAAGGAAGGGAAGGGAAGGGAAGGGGAGGGAGGAACAAAACTACCCAGTCTCTGGAATAACTGCACAAAACAGATTAAAAGAAGAACTGCTTTAAGTTTAAATACATTTTTTTGGGGGGGAGAGATTTTCGCTATAGGGTACGTGCACTGCCAGACAGACAGAGACAGAGAGACAGAAAGTGAGAAATCACCCCCCAGGGGGGATGGCCACGCCGCAATCCCTTCTCCTCCATTCTCCTCTCGGGATCTTGGGCACGCCCGCACACACGCCCAGTGTGAGTTTTAAGCCACCAGGTCCAGGACGTGAACCGCGGTCGACTACATGGGAATCCAGCAACATAGCCATTACGCTAACTGCTGGTTCCCAAGTTTAAATACTTTTTAAGTGTTGATTTCCAAAAGTTCCACTCATTTGCTTTCCAGCTGGTACTCTCCATCTTTCTGAGTTTTTTATCTTCCCCTACTAACTCTACATCTACTCTTACTACTATTAATATCAACAGCTGCCATTTATGAAGCATCTATAAGACGGGCACTGTGCCACTTACCTCTAGACATTACTTAATCTCCACAACAATGAGCTAATGCAGGTAAGCAGGTGAGGGTTAGATATGAATATGTACAATCAAGTACGTGTCAATTAAAATTATAACAATAATAATATTCTTGGGGGGGAGGGGAAGCTGAGCATTACAGATGTTAAATAAATGGCCCACGGTCATCCAATCAATAAATGTCAGAACAGAGACCTAAACTCAGGTCTTCCTAACTCCAAAGTACAAGAAGTTAGTTATTATACATGCCTATTAGAATGTCACTACTCCCAAAGTCTCAATTGTCATCCACATTACAACTATCTCTAACTATGTCAAACTCTAAAGCACATTTTCCAATTACCTAGTGGACCTCTCTGTTTAAACTCTCCACAAGGACTTGAAAATTAGCATGCCATCTTCCTTTCCCAGCACTTTTTTCATTCCAAAAGTGATTATCACAACAAATAATGGTTAGTGGTTGACCTCCTCTGATGAACCCTTGGCATGTTGGGAGAATACCATGTTTTACTCATCTCCGTCTTCCCAGCACCCAAATGAATGGCTAGCCATAGCCAGCACCCAATAAATATTTGCTGAGTTGTTAAATAATGTAACATTTGCTGTTGTAACTTTACACAGCCTTGGTTGGCAATTGAATTCAGGTTTACACATCACTCAAAAGAATTTTCACATAACCAAAGCTTTTATATATAAAGACCAATGGCTCAATATTCAGTTACAGTGTATTTATTCTCAAGTTATTTTGTCAATATTTTGGGGTATTATTCTTCAGACAGACTTCTTTACAGCAAACATTATTTGTACTTTTTATATGATCAATAGTAACTAAAAGTAACTACAACTCACAGACCACTCACTGTAAGAGCAAGAATATAAAAATTGAGACTACAGAAGACATACAGACACTTTGTTTCTGTACAGGTAGTAGAGACATAGTTTTTAAAAAAATCTTACTTAGGTGATTCTGGTATACAAGTTTTATTCCCCATACTGAAAATTATCATATTAAATCTTGCATATACTCAGTTTTATCTCTACGTTCAGCCCTGCTCTCATCTCTCTATACATTTATTTATTTACCCCTTTATCTATTACCTAAGTGAAGGAAGTGTAGAAACCCAGTGGACTGTTTTTACAACTTTCATATAACAGTTCTTCCCCCAAAATATAAAATGCCATTACTTCTGCCATCAGAATGCTGTGGTTGGTTTCAATATTTATAACTTTTTCTTTTGTTGGAGAGGTTTTTGCTATAGGGTACGTGCGCTCGCCAGACAGACAGACAGAGACACAGAGACAGAAAGCGAGAAATCACCCCCCAGGGGGGATGGTCACGCCGCAATCCCTTCTCCATTCTCCTCTCGGGATCTTGGGCATGCATGCACACGTGCCCGGCGTGAGGTTTAAGCCACCGGGTCCGTGACGCGAACTGCGGGCGACTATGTGGTAGTCCAGCAACATAGCCATTACGCTAACTGCTGGTTCCCATCACCTGGTGTAATTTTCAGGCTCCCAGGTCCAGGACTCAACTGAGATCTGCCATTAGGAGATCCAGCACCTTAACCACTGCACCGCCTACTGGTCCCACACTTATCTAAGTATCTACTGCAGTTAAAGTATAGTCTTCACATAACACTTGCTTACATACTACTTCATTTGGTTTCATAATTCTTTTATATATACCTTTTCTTTTCCTAGCTAGCTAGTTTGCTCATAAAGGAAAAAAAGCAAGATCTTCTATGTCGTTTGTAACCCCACATACTCCTCCCATGTTTAGGATAATCCTGGGCAGGGGCACATGGATTAAGTATGCACAGTGGGGTTATACAGCAAATATCGACTGCGCCTATTCTGTGGCAAGCACTTTTCTAGGTGCTAGAAATGTGGAGAGGACTAAAACAAGTGGTCCCTATCCCAAAAGCGATTACAGTCCAGAAAGACTTTAAATTCTGAGTGCTTTTAGTGTTAAAGAACAAGGTTATTACTGGTTCCAAGATGTAAGGCCCTCAGGTAACATACTTTACAGATTCTCAGTTATGAAACTGAGTCAGAATTTTAGAGCTGAAAGAAAACTATGAAGTTATTTTCCTATATTTTCTTGCACCAATAATGATTAAATTTCAGTACAATCTATCTTTTCACCAGTTCCAAGCACTACCTTAATAAACAGAAAGTCAGAAAAGATTGACTTCTTCCCTGCGTCCAACGCGCCCTCCTCCCCGAGGGCAGTTAACTGCAGCCGCCACACAGCACCCCTAAGGGAGTCTGGCACACTGAGAATCCTAGGCTGACGACCTGCTACACCTCTCCACTCTGCCTTCTCTCATCACCAACACTTTGCAGCCCGCACGATGGACTGAATGTGTATTTTGTGCCCAGTAAACAGCAAGCCTGTAATGTCATAGGTTTAGGAAAAACTGGAAACAGTGCTTCTATACCTTCTGGGTCTTAGTAATAACAAAGGTACAAAACAGTTCTGGGAAATGTACAGTGAGTTTGAGAAAGGAACAACTGAAGATGGGTATCGGACCCTAGGCCTCAAAATCTGCAGCAACTATGTGATAAAATGCCAAGGAAGCACGTGCACACGCACGTGAAGTTGGAAACTAGGCAACAGGTTGGCCGCCCGGTATCTACACTGACAGGTCGCCTTCCCTGGGTCGTGGGTGTGTCTGACGCCACACGCAGGCACTGATTCACAACTCTCCATAACAACCGGCTCCTACTCGGAGCCCGGCTTCAAGGGCAGGGGCGAGGAGAGCCCCAGAAGTCCCAAACTTTCCGAACCCCAACCCTGGGGTCCCCAGTTCCGTCTCCTCTCGTTCTCGGGCAACTTGGTCTCAGGCACGATGCAAGGGGGCGAGGCTACCCGGAGAACCCAGGCGTCTCCAGATTCCAACTCCCGGGACTGGGAGCCCCCAGTCGCCTAACTCCCCCGACATCTTCCGGGACTAGGAGTCCTCCTCCGCCCCACGCTCCCGCTTCCCAGCGCACCCGGGCCCAGGAACTGGCCCTCGTCAGCCCCCGTCCCCGCTCCTTCCCCGCCCCCGGAAAAAGCGACCGAGGGGCGTGGAGCGGCGCGCGCGGGTACGGTGGGGCCGCGCGTCCCCGCGCCCCGGGCCCGCGCAGCAGGTGCGGCCAGGCCCCACCTCCCCTGCGGGGTCCTGGCTA